CTCGAGTCCCACGGAGGAGCTCCGGAAGGATAAAAGGAGGAGGGACGACAGTGTTGGAGGAGAGAAGTCCAGGCCTAGAGCATTTACTCCACTGGCCTCGCTCCGTTCCCACGGCTCTCGGCCCCGCCCCTCTCATCACAATTATTTTATTTCACTAAGAAGTGTCTTTTCATCAACTCTTTTTAGATAGTAGCATCTGGAGTATGCCACTCAGATTGGGCTTACCTGTATGATGTTGCTCAAATGAAGCCACGACCTTTTCCTTTGATCCTGGGACATGAAGGGGCTGGGATTGTGGAGAGTGTTGGTCCAGGTGTCACAAAGGTATCTAAAGGTAAACCAAAAATCCATCATAAACACTTTTAATATTCTTACTTCTACCTAGATATAAAATGTTTCTAAATGTAAGTTCTGATTTCTCAATTGCTTCATCTTAATCACTTTGCCCTAGATACATGAATGTAGAAGTGTGTAGGCATGTGACATGCATTATTTCAGAGCATGTCATTTTTATATATCTGCAGGAGATAAAGTCATTCCTCTGTTCCTGCCACAGTGTGGACAGTGTGAACGCTGCCTGAGTCCAAAGACAAACCTCTGCACCAAAGACTGGTTATAATAATAATATTAATACCCTATTTATTTATAGTAAATACAAGTTTTTTTTTCATCTGCTTTTGAATAGATGTTAACTGTATTTTTCTCTTCCTCCAAGGGACAAAACTCAACAGGGTGTTCTTGCAGATGGCACCAGCAGGATCACCTGCAAGAATCAGCAGATTTACCAGTTTATTGGTGTCAGCACCTTCTCTGAATACACTGTTGTGCCAGAGGACAATGTCACCAAGATTCACCCAGATGCTCCACTGGACAAAGTCTGTCTGCTGGGCTGTGGAGTGTCTACAGGATATGGAGCAGCAGTGAACACAGGCAAAGTGTGTGTGATTTCCACTTCCATAAGATAAAAATAACATCCCACCAGCTTGTAGCATGTGTTAGATTTTTTTGTCATTGTCTTCCCCAGGTAGAATCTGGCTCTACATGTGCGGTGTTTGGTTTGGGAGCTGTTGGACTGGCAGCTGTCATGGGATGCAAGGCTGCTGGTGCTTCCAGGATCATCGCTGTAGACATCAATCCAGACAAGTCTGAGATCGCCAAGACTTTTGGAGCAACTGAGTTTGTGAACCCTAAAGACCACAGTAAACCCATTCAGGAGGTGCTGAGGGAGCTGTCTAATGGTGGCGTTGACTTCTCTCTTGAGTGTGTGGGGAATGTGGGAGTAATGGTAAGTTCCTATAACCAGTGTGTATTATTGTTTAATTAACTGTAAGTTTATTAGTAGAGCTGTAATTTTCAAAGATGTTCTTACTTCAGTGTCGTTTATGTAAGCAAGTCAAGTTGCCATGTAGAAGAAAGTAATTTACTGTATGTGCCCTGAGGTTAATTGAACTAATACAATTTCCTCTGATTAGAGGGCTGCTGTGGAAGCGTGTAGTCCTGCAGGGGGAATCTGTGTGATTGTGGGTTGGATTGAGGTGGAGGAACTTTCTCTGGCCCCCCTGGATATCCTTCTAGGAAGAACTCTGAAAGGCACTTATTTTGGAGGTAAATGCTTTCCATGTATTTAGTGTAGTGTGAGCTGTTTGGATGGTAAATGCGCAAAATGAATAATTTTTCAGTAATTAACCTGTTGTTTTTCTGATTGACAGGTTGGAAGAGTGTTGAGGCAGTGCCCAGACTTGTTCAAGACTATATGAGCGGGAAGCTTCTGCTGGATGAATTTGTGACACACAGACTGACTCTAGATCAGGTTAACCAGGCCTTCGATCACATGATCACTGGGAAAAGGTCAGTTTTTTGCATCTATTAATGAACACAATTATTGATTTGTTTTATGATGAAAAACACAAGAAAATGTTATATGCTAAATAATCTTGTAATATTATGTAATGTTCAGCATAATCAAATGTTAATATATTATATAAATTCATTCATCTTTAGAATAACTCTCACAGTTCATATGCATGGCCGCAGCCAGGGTTTGAAAATTAGTGAGGTCTTGGGTGGGGTTAAGAATTGTGCTATTGGTTAATTACCTCTACAAACACAACTTTATATACACTTAACACTTTAAAAGAGACAGGTATGTGAAAGATGTTTTCTCTGTTTTGGAGGGATGAACATTGTTAAATTATACCATATTTATTGCATCAAAACTGATTAATACTTTACTATAGGGTGGATAATTGTATCAGTTGTTTATTAGTCATGCAACAATAGCTACATATTACTATTATAGTTTGTCATTCCTCTATAGATGATAACTTTGTATATGATAACTGTTTTTGATAACGTTGATACTTTTTTTGTAACGTTTGGTAACGTTTCTGACAGATAGTATCATGATATTTTTTTGCATTTGCCTTACCGAATGTGAATCCTGTCAACAATAACCTATCCGTGGGCTTTTTTGATTACTGTCAGTTTAAGAGCCAACGATGCAGTGTTGCCAGATATTGTTATTAAAACAAATAAAAACAGAGAAATAAATAAAAAATAAACTGAAATTACACATGCAGACACTCATATGTGGAGTGTTAAACAGAAAATTAGAGAACAAATTCAAATTCAAACATTTACAGAGGTCTGGACCTCAGTGACCTCATAGCTGGCTACGGGCATGTTCATATGGTATTGCAATATTATATTAAATTGTGATGAAACTGAAGTAGTGACAGATCTTTTCTTCTGTATTGTGTGTAACAGATTATTGAAAAAAAAATGTATTGTGGAGGGGCGGGGTTTAAGAGAACTAAATGATCATACATGAATGGATACATTTATAAAATACATAGGGAAAACTCTCTCTCTCTGTTTATAGTTTCAAATCCCACAATAAAAAGTCTAGGCATGAACAATTTGCAAAAATCTTATGTAATTTGTTCATTTGCTTCTCTCTTTCTTAGTATCCGGACAGTGATTGAGATGTGAAATGGAGATGATTCTCAATATCCTTCAAACAACTCAAGTATTTTGGTGGGTTCCTCTACCTCTCTAAAGCCTCACAATGTCATTATGTACTTTGCAGACTAGTATAAAAGACTTTTTTGCAAGATTTACAAAGAAAAAGAAAATGATTATCTGTCTGCTAATCCAAAGGTCCCTTTTCACTGCCTGTATGTATTGGCTAAAGTACACAGGCACAGCGAATTAAAAGTGCCGAAGGAAAGGAGAAGTCACATTCACTGAATAAAGCGTTGCTTGTTTTTTTGTCTATTGTCTCAAGGAGAATACAAATACCATGTCTGTTATGATCAGAAACTGTTCCACACAATAAAGCCAAGTTTGTTGAATTTGATTTGGTTGTATCTCTTCTCTATTAGCAGCAGATGGCAAGCTTGCACTGCAGGACATCCTTATTTACTCAATTTCTTTTCTCTCAATGTACACTGTACAGCAAGTGTATCTCTCCCTTCTGTGTGCCTTGAGACCAACAGTGTAAAATTTCACCGGTCTAACTTTTATTATTTCTTTTAGGCTTACCGTCATTGAATTACCTTCAGTTAAGTGTTGCAAATTTCCATGGGGCTTCAATATATGCTGATCATGACCAAACTTGTTTTGCTTTTGCCACCGTTGGGAAGAGGAAGGTTGACCCATACTGTAGTTATCTGCGGGTCACCCAATCACATGCAAGCAGGACTTTGTTCAGCTGCTGTATTGGTCAATCAGCCAGTAACACGTTTTGAATAATCATATAGCAGCTGTGCACTAGTACAAATACACTAGTACCAGCAGGTCCTCTCCTGAGCCCTGACAAAACCAGCTCTGCATGTAAGTTATTAATAGCATACAAACATTTGCAAACTGTAAATCTGTGCATGAAGTCATCTGTTTTACTGAATGCATTCTAAATACTGTGAACTAGTCAAAACTAAATTTTAGCTTTGAGGGACGTCACAATCCCCTAAATGTAAATGAATTTGAAAATTCATTAGTATAGTGTTAGTATGGATATTACGCAATGATTTGTACCTGTAGATTTAATGTTTAAGAAATGTGTACCAGTTACAGAGGAGGTCAGAGGTCAGAGGAGAACTGGCCCCCCGACTGAGCCTGGTTTCTCCCAAGGTTTTTTCTCCATTCTGTCACTGATGGAGTTTTGGTTCTACTACGAAAAGTGTTGCATGCTTCGTAATGTAAACTTGAATGAATGTAACGATATAGTGCACTTGCATACACTCTTAAAAATAAAGGTGCTTCAAAAGGTTCAAGCGATGCCATAGAAGAACCATTTTTGGTTCCAGAAAGAACCATTGTCAAAGGTTCTTTAAAGAACCATCTCTTTCTTACCTTTTTGTAATCTGAAGAACCTTATTTTGCCACAAAGAACCATTTGTGAAACAGAAAGGTTCTTCAGATATTAAAGGTTCTTTATGGAACCATTTAGACAAAAAGGTTCTTCTATGGCATCGTGAAGCACCTTTATTTTTAAGAGTGTACTTCCTTATTGCTACACCACACAGGGGTGAGTAACACATATGATACCATATATGCAATGTCATGCCTATGTGCACAGATACAAATATTAGTGGAACAGTTTATGAATGATGATAATCCATCAGAATAGCTTTAAAGTGACCCAATTTACATGAAAGCTACTGTCCCCTTTCATTTAACATGTTAAGTTAAAGTGGGATGGTACTAACAGTAAATTATGCCCTCACAAATATTTAAAATATTGCAAGAATGCATGTATATTTATAATTAGCCATAGCCATCATATTTAAAAACCACAATATGTTATTTGTATGTGACAATAAAAAAACAGTGTTACATACATCATGTGTTAATGCAATGTCAGAAGAACTATCATATATTTTGGAAACGTTTTGAAACAAACCATTCTCCAACCTGTTCAATTTATGGAGGTGAAAAAAACCTTTAACACAAGTTTCAGCATTTAAAATTTTTTTTTTTATTGTTGTTCATGTCCTTTTAGGAGGCAGTTTATAGACAACATTGGAAACGATTAATTGTATTAAAAGTGTGTGGTTAGCATGGAAACTGAGGGTAAGGTAAGGACATAAATAGGTAAGGGGAAAAAGAAAGCTAAAATACTCAAATGTTTTTTTTTAAAAGACTATGAAACAAATCACATTGAGATTTTGTTTTTCTTTAAGGTGATCAAGTGCAAGGCAGCAGTGGCCTGGGAACCAGGAAAACTGTTCTCCATTGAGGAGGTGGAGGTTGCCCCTCCCAAAGCACATGAAGTACGAATTAAGGTAAAGTAGGTCCATTACACTTCACTGGGCATGTCTGCATATAATCCGTTTACATATAACACTTATATGTAGACTTGCAATGTGATGTTGCTTGAATGACTAAGCAGTATTTATATATCAGACTAATGACTATCAGTTGACCAATGTCAGATAATAGCATCTGGAGTATGCCACACAGACTGGACTTTCCTCCATGAGGTTGGTAAAACAATGAATCCCCAGCCCTTTCCTGTGATCTTGGGACATGAGGGGGCAGGAGTGGTGGAGAGTGTTGGTCCAGGTGTCACAAAGATGTCTAAAGGTAAACAAAAATTCCACCATGGAAAGGTTTTTATTTTTTTTATTTATTTAATGTAAATAAATCTGCTTTATTTTTTCCTTAAATTTTTGCTCTAATTCAAAACACTGCACTACCATTCAACCATTTATCTATAGGAGATAAAGTTATTCCTCTAGTTGTGCCACAGTGTGGACAATGTGAACGCTGCCTGAATCCAAAGACAAACCTCTGTACCAAAAACTGGTGAGTTAATATTACTTACTACTGAGTGATGTTTGTGTGATTTATTTTCTTTTTTTGTTTGTTTGTTCTTCTGAACTCAGACTATATTCACGAGGTGGGTGAAAAACAACAACAAGCCAATTCCATTTAGACTCTCTTTATTTCCTAGGAAGAAAACTCAGCAATGTCTTCTTGCAGATGGCACCAGTAGGATCACCTGCAAGAATCAGCAGATTTACCAGTTTATTGGTATCAGCACCTTCTCTGAATACACTGTTGTGCCAGAGGACAATGTCACCAAGATTCACCCAGACGCTCCACTGGACAGAGTCTGTCTGCTGGGCTGTGGAGTGTCTACAGGATATGGGGCAGCAGTGAACACAGGCAAAGTGTGTGTGATGTCTGATTTCCACTGGAATATAAAGCAATACGTAAAATAGAAATAACATCACACCAGCGTGTAGCGTGTGTTATATTTTTTGGCATTGTCTTCCACAGGTAGAATCTGGCTCTACATGTGCGGTGTTTGGTTTGGGAGCTGTTGGACTGGCAGCTGTCATGGGATGCAAGGCTGCCGGTGCTTCCAGGATCATTGCCGTTGACATCAACCCAGACAAGTCTGAGATTGCCAAGACTTTTGGAGCAACTGAGTTTGTGAACCCTAAACATTAGCATTCTACTACGAAAAGTGTTGCATGCTTCGTAATGTAAACTTGAATGAATGTAACGATATAGTGCACTTGCATACACTCTTAAAAATAAAGGTGCTTCAAAAGGTTCAAGCAATGCCATAGAAGAACCATTTTTGGTTCCAGAAAGAACCATTGTCAAAGGTTCTTTAAAGAACCATCTCTTTCTTACCTTTTTGTAATCTGAAGAACCTTATTTTGCCACAAAGAACCATTTGTGAAACAGAAAGGTTCTTCAGATATTAAAGGTTCTTTATGGAACCATTTAGACAAAAAGGTTCTTCTATGGCATCGTGAAGCACCTTTATTTTTAAGAGTGTACTTCCTTATTGCTACACCACACAGGGGTGAGTAACACATATGATACCATATATGCAATGTCATGCCTATGTGCACAGATACAAATATTAGTGGAACAGTTTATGAATGATGATAATCCATCAGAATAGCTTTAAAGTGACCCAATTTACATGAAAGCTACTGTCCCCTTTCATTTAACATGTTAAGTTAAAGTGGGATGGTACTAACAGTAAATTATGCCCTCACAAATATTTAAAATATTGCAAGAATGCATGTATATTTATAATTAGCCATAGCCATCATATTTAAAAACCACAATATGTTATTTGTATGTGACAATAAAAAAACAGTGTTACATACATCATGTGTTAATGCAATGTCAGAAGAACTATCATATATTTTGGAAACGTTTTGAAACAAACCATTCTCCAACCTGTTCAATTTATGGAGGTGAAAAAAACCTTTAACACAAGTTTCAGCATTTAAAATTTTTTTTTTTATTGTTGTTCATGTCCTTTTAGGAGGCAGTTTATAGACAACATTGGAAACGATTAATTGTATTAAAAGTGTGTGGTTAGCATGGAAACTGAGGGTAAGGTAAGGACATAAATAGGTAAGGGGAAAAAGAAAGCTAAAATACTCAAATGTTTTTTTTTAAAAGACTATGAAACAAATCACATTGAGATTTTGTTTTTCTTTAAGGTGATCAAGTGCAAGGCAGCAGTGGCCTGGGAACCAGGAAAACTGTTCTCCATTGAGGAGGTGGAGGTTGCCCCTCCCAAAGCACATGAAGTACGAATTAAGGTAAAGTAGGTCCATTACACTTCACTGGGCATGTCTGCATATAATCCGTTTACATATAACACTTATATGTAGACTTGCAATGTGATGTTGCTTGAATGACTAAGCAGTATTTATATATCAGACTAATGACTATCAGTTGACCAATGTCAGATAATAGCATCTGGAGTATGCCACACAGACTGGACTTTCCTCCATGAGGTTGGTAAAACAATGAATCCCCAGCCCTTTCCTGTGATCTTGGGACATGAGGGGGCAGGAGTGGTGGAAAGTGTTGGTCCAGGTGTCACAAAGATGTCCAAAGGTACCTCATTTTGTACCTCAATTTACCTTTGCATAAGTATAAAAATGTAATAAAAACATGTACAATATGACAAGCAAATGCAAATGCAAAAAATAAAATAAAATCTGTGGTAATTCATTCAATAAATAATACATAAAGCATTTAGTGTAAATATTTTTTTTCTTTAAATTTTGCACTAACTCAAAACACTTCACTACCATTCAACCATTTATCTACAGGAGATAAAGTTATTCCTCTAATCGTGCCACAGTGTGGACAATGCGAACGCTGTTTGAGTCCAAAGACAAACCTCTGTACAAAAAACTGGTGAGTTAATGTTACTGAGCGATGTTTGTGTGATGTTTTTTGTTCTTCTGAACTCATAGATTATATTCATGAGGTTGGTGATAATGTAATTCCATTCTCAACCCTGGCCCTGAGCGCCCCCAACACTGCACATTTTGTATGTCTCCCTTATCTGACACCCATTTCAGGTCCTGGAGTTTCTTTTAATGAGCTAATGAGTTGAATCAGGTGTGTTTGATTAGGGAGACACACAAAATGTGCAGTGCTGGGGGGTGCCCAGGACCAGGGTTGAGAAACACTGATTTAGACACTTTCTTTATTTTCTAGGGAGACAAATCAGCAATGTATTCTTGCAGATGGCACCAGCAGGATCACCTGCAAGAATCAGCAGATTTACCAGTTTATTGGTGTCAGCACCTTCTCTGAATACACTGTTGTGCCAGAGGACAATGTCACCAAGATTCACCCAGATGCTCCACTGGACAAAGTCTGTCTGCTGGGCTGTGGAGTGTCTACAGGATATGGAGCAGCAGTGAACACAGGCAAAGTGTGTGTGATTTCCACTTCCATAAGATAAAAATAACATCCCACCAGCTTGTAGCATGTGTTAGATTTTTTTGTCATTGTCTTCCCCAGGTAGAATCTGGCTCTACATGTGCGGTGTTTGGTTTGGGAGCTGTTGGACTGGCAGCTGTCATGGGATGCAAGGCTGCTGGTGCTTCCAGGATCATCGCTGTAGACATCAATCCAGACAAGTCTGAGATCGCCAAGACTTTTGGAGCAACTGAGTTTGTGAACCCTGAAGATCACAGTAAACCAATTCAGGAGGTGCTGAGGGAGCAGACTAATGGTGGCGTTGACTTCTGTCTTGAGTGTGTGGGGAATGTGGGAGTAATGGTAAGTTAGTGCGAAAAAGCAAATGTCTTGAATCTTTTATCTAACAATACTTTTAGGCTCAAAGAGGTCTATTTCAAATTGCGAAAGCAAATCAAGTTACCATATAGTCACACTAGAACATTACTGATCTGGATTCATATGCAGATGAATGAACTGATAAAATGTCATATCTTACAATCAGAGAGACTATTCCTGCAGGGGGAGTCTGTGTGATGGTGGGCTGGACCAGGATGGGAGAACTTACTCTGGTTTCTGAGGATATTCTTCTAGGAAAAACTCTAAAAGGCTCCTATTTTGGTGGTAAAGCATGCCTGATAAATTAAAATATATCTTATGATGATCTACTGTAGCCTATATGTTGCAGCACCAAGTTGATGTGATATGGAGAATTAGGTCTAATCATTTTACAGTCCTCTCATTTCACTGTGCATTAGTGGAAAACACCTGCAATTTAAAGTAACTACTCTGTTCTTCCTGTCTGATTGACAGGTTGGAAGAGTGCTGAGGCAGTGCCCAAGTTGGTACAGGATTATATGAGTGGGAAGCTTCTGCTGGATGAATTTGTGACACACAGACTGACTCTAGATCAGGTTAACCAGGCCTTCGATCTTATGATCACTGGGAAGAGGTAAGTTCTGTGACTCTACTAATGATCTTGTATTGTGCTAAGCATTGCTACAACTGTATGCCTGACATATTTCAGTATTCTGGAATGGTCATATACCACACACATTAGTCAAGAGAAGAAATTCTTTGTTATGGTGTCTAATTATTTCTATATCTATACATATACATACATGCACTTAACCTCTTTCTTTCTTTCTTTCTCTTTTTCAGTATTCGTACCGTGATCAAGATGTGAGATGAAGTAACTGTCTTTAAACAAGTGTTTATATTCTGTTCTGACATTACATCAATCAGAGAAGAATCGGTGTTGTCGTAATGCAATACTATAATGCAATAAAGCTGCATAGGTCTCAGTTCAGATCTCACTGGTCCCAAATCCTATTCAACATAATTGTACAGTAAACATTAATAAACTTGTCACGCCACACAGCTATTTCATATTCAGTATAGTTTAATATGTGCTGTACAGAATTTTATTTCTGATATGCTTCTTTAAAATGCTTATATTTTCCAGGAATATGTATTGAGGCACAATATACCGGTTTCATACAATAAAGCTTATTCTGATGCATTTGATTTGGTTGTATCTTTTCTTTTTCACCAGTAGATGGCAAGCTTGTACTACAAACATCCTTATTCACTTCCTTTGTCTTTTGTATGCTGTCTGCATTGAGACTCGTGAGTTACTTCACTCTAACCTTTATTATTTCATATCACCGAGGCTTGGCTCAATATCCGCTAAGTGTTCATGTGTTTATGTTCCACATCGTTACAGAGCAAACCATGAGCACTCCTGTCTCTTAACTACATATACTATTATTGCCCTTTGAAGCCATATCCACCAGTTTCCATCTAAAATAATATCATCTCAGCCTTCATTGTCTTCTAGTGGGACATGAGAAGTCTCTAGAAAAATAGAAAGAGTTTTGTCATAGGGAGATGGATGGGTTTGTGTAACTAGGGGTTACATGCAGCTGATCACGGGTTGCATGTTGACCTTTGTAATATTATATATTGATTTAATATAGCATGCTCTTGAGGGTTAGAATGGCAGTTGTGGCCTGTCAGAGCCAGAGACAAAAGGCTGGCTGGGGAATGCCTCTCCATGATGAACTGGGATGGCTGTCCAGGAATTTGGTTTATTGTAGTTCCATTCAGATCAAATGAATACTCTTGGCAGATCCCCCTCCCCCTTTTCCATCTTTACGTAAAATGGAAAATGAAGCAAAGTCTCCCTCACGTTTACCCTACCCCTGCCATATCGTGCAATCAATCAGAGATTCAAAGTTTTTGTTGCTCTTTCCATTGAAACTGAGAAATATTGCTGAAAAATGGAGACATCAAAAGATCAAAAACAAGTAGCAACAGGTGCCTGCTCACTGAGCTCATTTTTGGATGCAGGACCATTTACAAAGGCCAACTATAGATAATGTGCATTTAGAGAGATGCTGCATTTTTTCTCATTCATTCAAACTTTTCTCAAAATAAAATAAATACACAAAGATTTATAATTAGTTAATTGGGCCATTCAGGCTGTTTATTTTCAGTTAGTTGGCAGATGTGGAGATAAAAAAAACTTCATTCTTGTGCATGCTTTAACCAATATATTATCTCTATAATTTCAACTGGTAGCCTCAAGGATAAGGAACATTTCTGTACAATAAATTCTGTACAAGATATTCTACGAAATTGTGTCAGAAATACAGCAGACTCTTTTATTTTAACCAAACTGTCATGGGTAGTTAGACACATATCTACCCAGGTGGCCT